TGTATATATACATATACTGTATATATATATACATATACTGTATATATATATATATATATATTTATATATATATATATATAAATATATATCTATATCTGCATAGAGAACATCTGATGGGTCCATCTTGCTGTCCCTCCTACTCACAGTAGTAGTCAAAGTCAAGTTCAGATACATTAGTTGCATTTAAAAATACAATTAATACTCTTTGGTTTTACAAAACACAAATGGGGTTGATTTATAAACATTTTGCTGGGCCCTTCAACCTGTGAATATCTGTAAACGTTCACCCTGTGCGAATCTATGCACAAATGTTTTTTAGGTTTTTTTTCCTTTACAAGTGTAATTAAATGTAAATGCTCAGGTTGTATTGTTGCATTATGGCCACTAGATGGAGCTGAGCAGCATAGAAAATAAAATGCTTATTTCTTATGCTCCATCTAGTGGCCATAAAGTGACATTACAACTTTTACATCTAAATTTAATTACACTTGTGAAGGGAAAAAAAAATCAAAGAATGGTTGTGTATATACAGTATGTGCTCAGAACGAATGTTCACAGATATTCTCAGACCATTGTCTGGCACATTATTAATAAAATCAACCTTATAACTGCATTAATTGGTGTTTTTTTTTAATACCTAGCTTTAAAGGACCAGTCCACCCAAAACTGAATTAGGGATCTTCTGCTGAATTATTCGTAATGTATAAGATGTGGGGAGGATGGACAACTTCTTGCAATTGCTGTGACAGGTAGATGAAGCTGGCAACTCAGGTACAAGGTTCTGACTACAGTCATTACTTTGCATGTAAGGGGCGGGATGCAGTGACATAATTGACCTTATATGGCCCCATAGCTATATTTGGTCAATTATATTGACCTAATATGCCTATGTGGCCATATACGGTCATTGATATCAGCACAAGCATTACACGCCTTTGTTGATGTGCGGCTGCAGGGTGTGGAATGCCCTAGCCCACAGCAGATTGGGCGGGTGACCAATGACCCTTTCCATGTTAGGAGGATATTGGGTCCCAAGCTCATCCCTTGTTGAAGTCAAGCAAATCTCAACTCTACCTGTAAAAGTTCAGCATGGCCCCTTACACCTCTCAAACTTCACTACTGGCCAGCAAGGATCACGTTAAATAATCAATAGAGAGGTGGGATGGTGCAGTGGCCACACTTGACTTTTACAAAGCACTTGAGATTTTCATGTAACTTCAGCTTCCTCTATTTCCGGACCCTCTGATCGATTTCACAGGCAGTTATCATTATGTTCATGCATTTGGTTTCAGCATATGCTCGCTTGAAGTTGCCCAGGTTTGTTATATGTTTATTTTTATATATTTTGTTTGAATGGCTTTATTAGGTAACAAAGAAAAATGGAGTGTTTACATGTACATAGTTCTAATGAAAACACTATAACATAAGTGAGCAAATAAGAGACCAATTTGTCAACAAACTGCAAGAACAAATAACAATGTGTACACCTGGGGGCAAATATATCCTGTGGAATCTTTTGTATAGTTTTTGCTGGAAACGGGGACAGAAAAGCCAGTTTTAGACTGTCAGATCAGAGGGGGGGCATGAAATATACAATAAGGTAATGAAGAAAAAGAAGGGGGGAAAGAAAGAGGGAAAGGATAGGGAGGAGAGGAATGCGGAAAGGAAGGAGGAGAGAAAAGGAAAGGGGGAAATAAAGGAAGAAAGGGAAGGAAGGAGGAACAAAAAGGACAGAGGAAAGGTAAGGGTTGGAAGGAAGGATGAAAAGAAAGGAAGGAGCGAAAGGAAGGAGGAAAGGAAAGAGAATAGGAGGAGAGAAAAGGAAAGGGGGAAATTAAGGAAGAAAGGGAAGGAAGGAGGAGGAACAGAAAGGACGGAGGAAAAGAGAGGAAAGGGAAGGAAGGAGGAAAGGAAGGAAAGAGGGAAAGGAAAGGAGGAGAGAAGGGGAAAGGGGGAAATGAAGGATATAAAGAAAAGGCAAGGAAGAAGAAACTGAAATAAAGGAGGAAAAGAGAGGAAAGGAACAAGGAAAGGAAGGAGGAAAGAAAAGGAAGGATGAAAATAGAGGAAAGGAACTAAAAAGGGAAAGGTAGGAGGAAAGGAAAGTAAAAGGAAGGAAGGAGGAAAAGAAATGAAGGGAGGAAAGGAACGGGAAAGGGAAGGAATGGGGAAAGGAAAGTTGAAAAGGAAGGAGGAAAGGAGTTGAAAAGAAAGAAAGAAAAGGGAAGAAAGGATGAGAGGAAAGGAAGGAGGAAATGAAAAGCGGTAATGAAGGAGGAAAACAACGTGGAAAGGAAGGAAGAAAGGAAAGATGTTACAGGTTTATTTTATATATTGATCCACATGGCTCATTCAGGACCTCTAGTGGCAGTAAAAAAAAAAAAAGGACTGTAGGGGAAATCTGTGGATTGAAGGTGAATATTTTGTTATTTTATCTGTTAAGGTATTATATTCATTTTGATCCTTTGATATATTTGGCTGGAGTTCTGCTTTAAGCCTAGTTCCACTTTTTGTCCATAGAATGCCCTTTCATGGGGTCATGCGCCTAAGACTGCCTTACCTTTTCACGGAGGCGCTCCCTGAGAGCGGCCAGATGTGCGTCACGGATCTCCTTGCTGAGCTCCATCTTGTAGTTGAGTTTTTCCTCAGCCATTCGGCTGAAATTGTTATTGTCTTCTATTGCCCGGTGCAAGACGTCTCTCTCGTGCTCCCGCTTCTCGGCAAGCTGTTTCAGCACCTGAGCTTCCTGGGACTGATGGGCAAAACACAAGTTCTTCATTATAAAGAGTTTATTTAACACCCGTCTAGTGCCTCATGGTGCTTCTTATCCACAGGGGTGCTTAGTTAGACAAGGTTACAGTTGTCGCTTTCTTGCAGCAGTAATACAATGCAAAGGGACCCTAAATGAGGTCTGTGTGTCTTAAAGGTTCACTTTAGCATAAAAACTTCCCAGCCCCATCTTCCTAGTCTTCAAACCTGTCCTAAGCAAATCGCTTAGCCCCCAGGTGCCTACTTACCTCTGTCAGATGGCAGCAGCCTCACATGGTATTTACGGCCTTGGTGATTAAACACAAGGCTGAAAACTCTGCAGGGGGCTGTCAATGCTGCAAAGGGGTAAGCAACCATCTGGGTGGAAAGCTTTTATTTTTGAAAAAAATCAGTTTATTGTGTCCCTACAGTGAAACAAGGTGTAGGTGTGAATCGCTGCATGGCATAGATGTACATTTATGTCTCATGCCAAGCCAGGAAAGACTCAACATAGTAAATGACAAAGATCAGTGAAAATATCATATAATAGACCATTGGGTATTTAGACCAAATATAGGGTAAGAGCAGTGGGTGGGTAGTTTGGGCTTAGGATAGGTTAGGGTGCTAGAGTGAAGAGGCTAGGGTGAAGGGGCTAGGGTTAACAGGTTAGGGTGAAGGGGCTGGGGTTAAAGAGTTAGGGTGAAGGGGCTTGGGTTAAGAGACTAGGGGGAAGGGGCTACATCAAAGAGGTTAGGGTGAAGGGGTTAGGCTGAACAGGCAAGGTTGAAGATACTAGGGTGAAGAGGCAAAGGTGAAGAGATTACATTGAAGAGGCTAGGGTGACAAGACTAGGGTAAGGGGCAAGGGTGAAGAGACTAGAGTGAAGAGGCTAGGGTGAGGAGACTAGGGTAAGGGGCAAGGGTGAAGAGCATCAGGTGAAGAGACTAGAGTGAAGAGACTAGGGTGAGGAGACTAGGGTAAGGGGCAAGGGTGAAGAGACTAGAGTGAAGAGAATAGGGTGAGGAGACTAGGGTAAAGAGAACACGGTGAGGAGACTAGGGTAAAGAGAATAGGGTGAGGAGACTAGGGTAAGGGGCAAGGGTGAAGAGACTCAGGTGAAGAGACTAGGGTAAAGAGAATAGGGTGAATATGTTACTGGGATGAGACTAGGGAAAAGGGGCAAGGGTAAAGAGGCTCAGGTGAAGAGATGGGTAACGAGAATAGGGTGAGGTGGTTAGGAGGATGAGACTAGGGAAACGGGACAAGGGTGAAGAGGCTAGGGTGAAGAGGTTAAGGTGATGAAACTAGGTTGAAGGGGCTAGGGTGAAGAGGTTAGGGTAATGAGACTAGGGCAGGGGCTATGGTGAAGAGGCTCAGGTGAGGAGACTAGGGTGAAGGGGTTAGGCTGAACAGTCAAGGTTGCAGAAACTAGGGTGAAGAGGCTAAGGGGAAGAGATTAGGGTGAAGGGGCAAGGGGGAAGAGGTTAAGGTGACAAGACTAGTGTGAATAGGCTAGGGTGAAGAATGTAGGGTGTAGAGGCTAAGGTGAGGGAGCTTGGGAGGTTGCATTACAAATGGGACCTGTCCTTTAAATGCCAGATCTGTCAATGACAAACAGAAGCAGGACACTGCCAGGTATTCTGAATGTATAGCTTTTCCCACTTAATAAATGACTAACGTTTGCATGTTGCCTAGGGCTTCCCTTTACCATCACCCAACAGCATGGCAGCTTACCTTTCTCCTCTCCTCGGCTGCCTCCAGCCTCTTCTGCAGTTCCTCCAGAGAGACATCCTTCTTCCGGAGGGAGGCGGATATAGGAGGACTGTCCGGGGACAAGTCTGAAGGAGACCTCAGGATCACCTCAAAGCTCTGCCCTGAGGCTCTCTTATTCAGCTGCTTTACCTCCATGTCTGTGACCAGAAAGATTGACAAGTCACATCAAGCATCGCTGGTAGGAGAAAGTCACATTCATCCGGACTTGTCCTTTACAATTTATATAAACCCAAACAATCAGCTCATCTCATTTGCTCCCCCACTTTGGTCTGTTAAATATCCCGTTGGAAGCATTTTGTTATATGTGTTCAAAATAAAAACCCCTCATCCTGCCCAAAATCTTGTGAGCTGACAGCTTCCTGGGCTCTCTGCTTCTTATCAATTACATGGTTCTTAGCTATCTCCGAGGACTACCGGAGAACCACGCCCTTATTTGTTATGGAGAATCGGAGAGGGGCGGGTTTCCTATCTTGTTTCTGTTGTCCTAAAACAGTAAGGCTAGTGAATGATGTTGTCACCTTAGGACAGGAAGTGTGCTACTGGCAGACTCACAAGGGGAAAATCAAGGCTAAAAACTGAAGATTAAGGAATCTTACGCAGGCACCACATCTAAGGACTGGTAAGCTGCAATATGTTACATTTTTGCTTTTAGATATATGTTTTAGTGCATTTAGATACATTTTATGGTGCATTTAGATACATTTTAACGTCGCACATGTTTCAATGGCTACCTAAGCAGCTTCTTCGGCTCTGAGTGTGAGAAACGTACCCCAGTGCTTATAGCCACGCTGGTACCAAGGGACAGGGGTGTCCCGAGGCAGGGTGTCACCCGCGGCGGGTATCAGGTGACAGCCCGCAGTGAAGTCACCGCGCATGCCTGTGACGTCATCGTGCTCGTGCATGATGACGTCAACAAGCTGTTACCTGCCAGGGTTCATCTTGGTGAGGAGGGGACGTTCACCCGGCGGGATAAGGTATGCTGCCGGGTCCCCTCCTCTCTCCTGCAACTGTCGGGCTCTTGGTCCATGACCGAGTGCCTGACTTTTTAGAGGGGGTGACCTCAAAATGACTGTCATTCATTTTGGTGTCAACTCTCCAATGGTATCACCCGGGTGCGGGCCGCACCCCCTGTACCACCCTAGTGACGCCACTGCCTAGGGATGAGTTCCGCACCTGAGCTCCTCCAAACACGGAAGTGCCATGGGCACTTCCACCCAATCAGCTGTGGGCTAGGTATTCCCCACCCTGCAGCCGCATGCAAACAAAGGGACGGGATGCTTGTAGGGACATCATTCATCTTTAATGGCCACATATTAGGTGAATGTCATTTACCAAATATGGGCATGTAGCCATATAAGGTCAATGATGTCATTGCATCCCACCCTGTGCATATGGCAAGCAGTGAGTGGGGAATTCCCTGCCCACAGCTGATTGGGAAGCACAATGTGAGCTTCCTTCTGTTCAGGAGGAGCTCCTTCCAAGTTCGGAGAAGCTCAGGTTTGGTCCACATTCAGGCTGAACCTGAGCTCATCCCTACTGATAACTTGGTGCACCATAAACCCTATTTTGGGTTCTGGGCTCCCAGTGTTCCTTCAGTAGTAGTCAAGGCAGCAGCATGGGAACTAAATCAATGTATGCATGTGGAAAGGGACAGGGAGGGTGGGGATAGGTAAAGTTCTGTAATCCAGCGAGTAGGGCAACTCCGGCTGGTGTCTCAGTACAGCAGAGGCGCTGTGTTGTCAGCCCAAACAGGAAGTTAGGAGCTCACCAGATTTCTGGCAGATCAATCAGCATTTTTGAAGGGATAAAACTCGGGGAAATGGTTATGCTTATGGTTTTTGTTTGCCCTGTCTGGTCCTCTACAGTAGTGATCACATGACCTACAATGGTTGCGTCCATGAATACATCATTACAGGGACTATGACATGCACACATGTCCCCTGTGTGGGAGACGTTACTGACCTTCATACTGGTAGATTGTGTTGGGATGGGGCTGGGAGTAGAAGCAAGAGCAGATCAGAGACAGCATAGACAGCTCCTTCATCTTCTCTTTGTAGGCTGTAAAAAAGAAATAAACAAAAAACAAAGTAAATCATGTCCATCAGATCAGCCCAAACTTAGATCTAAGCTCTTCCAAGGTAGCCAAATAATTTAAAGGCCAACTCCGGGGAAAATTAAACATTTTCCTTTGCCCCAGCCCTGGAAGGGTTAACTGCTCATTTATGCCCGTGGGACAGGAAATAGCTGTACTGGTCCCCGCAGCCTCTTCTCCCATTCCCTCTGGTGGCCCCTCAAGTAGAATGCAGTGTCCATAGCCCTGCATTGTATGTGAGGACACTGAGGGACAGTCCACAGGGGAGAAGAGGAGGGTGCCTATTGCTGGGTGAGTGGGGATCAGGTAAGTAAAAGAGCTTCTTACTGCCCCCTAGGCATAAAACTACTGGAGGGAGACAAGACCAGTGACCCTGCACAGGGAGAGAGGGCAGCAGTGACCGGTCTTTATTACAGGACGGGGCGGAGTCGAGGCCAATCACCCAGCACAAGGAGAGAGTGAGCAGTAGTGAGCGGTCTTTATTACAGGAGGGGGATGAGACAAGACCAGCCACCCTGCACAAGGAGAGAGAACAGCAATGACAGGTCTTTATTACTGCTGCTCTCTCTCCTTGTGCAGGGTGACTGGTCTTGTCTCCGCCCCCTCCTGTAATAAAGACCGCTCACTGCTGCTCTCTCTCCTTGTGCAGGGTTACTGGTCTTGTCTCATCCCCCTCCTGTAATAAAGACCGGTCACTGCTGTTCTCTCCTTGTGCAGGGTGACTGGTCTTGTCTCATCCCCCACCTGGAATAAAGACCGGTCACTGCTGCTCTCTCTTCTAGTGCATGGTGCCTTGTCTTGTTCCCGCCCACGCATTGAGGAACCTGGCCTTGGGGCAGCCGATAGAGTAAATCCGGCCCTGGGTTTAGGTGAGCATGTGGCTTGCTCACTTCTCTCCCATGATGCAATGTTCAGTGCCTGAGCAGCCAATACCTGGGCTGGAGCATTGTCACGTGGAGGCGGATTTGGGGGGTTGAACCTCAACCTTGACTATAGCATGCTTGTCCCAGACACAGCCAAGCCACCATCATCATAAGCCATGCAAGCTTCAGCATTTCTTTCATGACAGGTGCACTTTAAGGGCAATAGGAACATGCGTGTAGTATGTAGTAGACATGAAAGGAGCTATCCTTGCAAAGGCGAGAGTAACGGAGGGAATTGGTTGAAACGTGTTGACAGCCGCCCCTGAAGCTAGGGGAAACTGGCGAGATATGTGTGTGACGTCGTCTCTCTCTCCTCTTTACGTGATGAAGATGGCACCTGATGCCAACGTGAAGACTTCATCCTCTTCTGATCCCAGACAGGTGCCTGTCCCCCAGACAAAGCCTGCAATTGTCAGACGCTCAGACGTGTCACCGAGGACTCGCACTTATTCCCCGTCTCCAATCCTAATAAGCTGCTTCCGTCCTCCAGAGGCACCAAGCCTGACGCCAGCCTTCAGCCCTAATTACTCCGTGCCAGACACGACTGGCAGCTGGCTACACATGTGTGCCTCGGGTGCAAAGCAGGAAGCCAATGTCAGAAGGAGAAAGGCGTTTTCAGCAAGGCCTTCTGGGAAATGCTGGAAAGCAGGATCTTATTTTACAATGAAAAGCTGCTTTGATCACTGTGATCGCAGTAGGGATTGAAGGGCCACGCCAATAAAATAGACCCGGTGCAATTCCGTCAGGCTCTGGGAATGCTCAACAAGAGTAGCCAATGCGTTTCTGGGTTTAAGTAGAGTGGTCAATGCGTTTTGGGGTTTTATGAGAGAAATCATGTATGTGGACCACAATCCCCTACATGTAAGTGGACTACAATGCTCTACATGTATGTGGACTACAATCCTCTACATGTATGTAGACTACAATCCCCTACACATATGTGGACCACAATTCCATACATATATGTGGACTACAATCCTGTACGTGGACTACAATCCCTTACACATATGCAGTCCACAATCCCCTACATGTATGTGGACTACAATCATCTACATGTATGTGGACAACAATCCTCTACATATATGTGAACTACAATCCTCTACATATATGTGGACCACAAACCCCTACATGAAGTGGACTACAATCCCCTACATGTATGTGGACTACAATCCACTACGTGTATGTGGACTACAATACTCAATCCCCTACACATATGCAGACCACAATCACCTACATGTATGTGGACTACAATACTCTACATGTATGTGGACTACAATGCTCTGCATGTATGTGGACTACAATCCCCTGCATGTATGTGGACCACAATCCCCTAGACATATGCGGACCACAATCCCCTACATGTATGTTGACTACAATCCTCTACATGTGCTGTATGTGTACAACAATTTCCTACATATATGTGGACTACAATCCTTTATATATATATGTGGACTACAATCCTTTACATGTATGTGGACCACAATTCCCTACACATATGCGGACCATAATCCCCTACGTGTGTGTGGACCACAATGCCCTACATGTATGTGGACTGCAATCCTCTACATGTATGTGGACTGCAATCCTCTACATGTATGTGGACTGCAATCCCCTACATGCATTTAGACTACAAGTTGTACTGTGATGGGAGTACTTTAGGCTTGTCAGCAGCTGCCAATGTTATTCACCTTGCTTGCAATAAGTAAAATAAGAAAAGGTGCCTATGGGCAGTGCAGGATTAGAAACAAATGTGTGGTGTAACTACAAATCCCATCATGCATCTGTCTCTGGGAGCCGTGGCTGTCAGAGTCTTGCAATGCCTCATGGGACTTGTAGTTCTACCACAACTGGCATGCTGAAGTTGCCATGCTAAGGGATTATAGATGAGAAATCTTCCACCTGTAAGGTAAAGGTTTTCTATATGTTGTCTGCATTTATTTATCATGGTCTGGGCTAGAAAATTCACAATGAAAGAAAAGAAGAAACCCTTTGTTTACAGAAGTCAATAGCTTAAGCTGAACGAGTCAGAGGGATGACAACCCTTGAAAATGAGTGAAACATATCAGAGGAGGACGTCCCAGGCAGATTGACGTTTGTCCTGGAATAATAAAGTTTTACAAGTGTTGAATGCTACGGTGTGCTGGTGGATGTGTTTCTCTGGATGCGTTGACAATTCAGGGTGAAGGACTCGGCGCCCGGTCGGCTGAGGGAGTCATCTGCTATACAGGACTAAAGAGCAGCCAGAAACCTTTCCTTCAGGGGTGGGCAAACTCCGTCCCTCCAGCTGTTGTGGAACTACAAATCCCATGAGGCGTTGCAAGATTTTCACAGCCACAGGCAAGACTCCCGGAGGCAGATGCATCATGGGATTTGTAGTTCCGCCACAGCTGGAGGGCTGGTGTTTGCCTGCCCCTGCTTTACTTTGATGACATCCTTCATCAGACAGCATCAACCAGACAAATCGTGCGTCAAGGCGAGCTGCTTCTGCTGTGATGTCAGCCAACTGCCTGCCTGTCATACTGGTCCTCTTGCTTCAGTTCTATTTTTCCTTTCTGATCTGCATATTTGTTTTGGGTCAGTGACTCTGGAAGCGCCTAAGCAAAAGGATCAGAAAAACAATCAGGCAACTAACAGGGTCAGTAATGGCCGTGTCTTGTTTCCTTTAAAGGGCAAGTCCAGGAAGGAAAGCGCCCAAGATCAGGGGTAGGAAGGTATTTACATGACAGCCTTCCTTTAATGACATGTTCAGGTCACCGACCCACTGATACTCACCTCATCAGGGACCCCCCGCCACTCATTCCTCCATCACACCTCAATGCCCTGTGTCTTGGAGCATGAAGGGGGTCCATGAGTCACCCAATCAGTCATGTGAGTGGGTGAGTCAGCCTTCGATATTGGCCTCTAGGCTGGAGTGTTGCATCATGGAGGAAGTCACATGGGTTGAAGATATGGATCCTCACCCTGGTGTGGTCTGTGAATTGAGGCTTTGGTCAGTTGGGATGAAAGATTCCAAAGAGACTCAGAGAACTGCCTCTGCCACCAACCACAAATGTCACCAACCAAAAATGTCATCATCTCCTTATAGATCAACCTAAAAAATGATGCCCAATGAGGGCCTATCAAAAATCTTAGGTAGGCCTACCGACAACCTTTTCCATTTATAAGGCTCTTGCACTGCATCAAGGGTGGGAAATCTCAGCCCTAAGGCTGGGGTGAAACTAAAAATCTCATCGTGCTTCTAGGAGTCATGCCTCTGGCTATCAGACTCTTGCAATGCCTCGTGAGACTTGTAGTTCCCCAACAGCTGGAGGGCCTAGGCTGCCGACCCCTGATGAAATACAAAGGCCAGGCCGCCTTGACAACTTCCAAACCATTTCTGGCTACATAATGCTGTTTGTACGTCATAAGCTCTGTATTTTGTTTCCTTTGCAGGTAAGGAGTCTTGCAATGCCTCATGGGACTCGTAGTTCCACAACAGCTGGCAGGCCTAGCCTGATGACCCCTGATGAAATACAAAGGCCAGGCCGCCTTGACAACTTCCAAACCATTTCTGGCTACATAATTCTGTTTGCACATCATAAGCTCTGTATTTTGTTTCCTTTGCAGGTAAAGAGTTTGCAATGCCTCATGGGACTTGTAGTTCCACAACAGCTGGCAGGCCTAGCCTGATGACCCCTGATGAAATACAAAGGCCAGGCCACCTTCCCTGACAAATGCCAAACCATTTCTGGCTACATAATTCTGTTTGCACATCATAAGCTCTGTATTATGTTTCCTTTGCAGGTAAAGAGTTTGCAATGCCTCATGGGACTTGTAGTTCCACAACAGCTGTAATGCCAAGGTTGCCTACCCTTGCACTACATTGTTGTCAGCATATCTAAGGCTCACCACACACCTTACAATCTGACCGTACACTCAAATTTAGAACTACCAAAACGATGTAATACGAGGACGTATGTAAACCAGCCGATCAATTTGTATCCGATCAGGCGGGGGGCCCTTGTACGTCATGCCGGTCAGTAGATCTAGAGGGGATTGTACAATCAGAATGCAACATGTATGACGAGCCTAGGGTTGTACAATAGGAAGCACACATGGGCAATTTCAGCTGCAGTTCTTTCTTTTTCCAATCTACAAAAAAAAAACTGCTGTCAACAACCCATCAGGCGAACGGAGGAATGCTTGTAGAAGGCTGGCGTAGCTGTCATCAATGTGTGCTGGTACCTGCCAGGCACCATGGCAGACATCAGCCACCATCAGCCTCTCATCGTTGGAGAATGCGTGGCTCTCCTCTGCTTGCCAATCCTTTGTAACCCGAGGATGGCATCTGCAGTCAGCACAATCAGCGTCGGCTCTGATCCCCGTATAAGACTAAGGCCGTATTCCCCAGCTGGAGAATGGTGCATGATGGCAATCTGTGGACTACTGCAGTGTCATTCCTTCATCCCAAACAATAAGACTCACATGTAGACCTCACTGCCGTCTAATCCAAAATCCCACCCATGCAGCGGCATGAGACCCTGTGTAGCTGCGTGGGTGTTGGGAGGGTGGGGGGGCAATCAATAGCAGCACACACAAAAAAGGGGGGGGGGGCCTTTAAATATCCGTATTTGCTGTTACCAGGCAATTGATCAACAAAGAGACAAAATCTGTCTGCATGGGCTATGCAAAACCAGACAGGGAGGGGAGGCGGTCTGCATGTTGAGATGCAGCCGTGGCACACATGTGCATGCAATGAGGTTTTACATGTCATGTCCATCCTATGCCTTCAGCAAGACCAGATATGACCATTTGTTTTCATAGCAAAAATGGCTGCTGACACCCTTCTATACTTCAAACTGAGGGTTAGCATTGCAAACGATTTCCAAAGGGGGGGGGGGTGTCGCCCGTACCGATCGCCCAGCCTGCTGGGAAATCTCTGCGACGCCTTTCCATAGTTCTCGTTTCTCCCAAAAAAAAAAAGCTTATATCAGGGAGCAGTTGCCATTTTTTTTTCTTACCATTGACCAATCATCTGGAGGACAGGGAGCTCTGACATTAGGTCTCCCATTATACAATCTCCTTTAGATCTGCCATAGGGCCTCCGTGATCTGATCATACATTGGATGGATTTGTGAGGGCGTCCTCTTATTATGGGGTACACAATCAAATTGTATGGTCACCTTAAGGGACCCACTGTCATCTCCCTGGCTATTAGACGCAGTGCATGTGCAGCCAAAAGAAAAAAGCAACGATTGCCAATAAACCACAAAACAGAACATTTCGGCCAATGGGAGCATCCGATGCACGGAAGCTATCGTTAATGAACCCCTAAATGACCCAACGATTGCGAAATATGCCCCATGCTATAGCTGTACGCAATAGATTGCTACATACACACATTCATATATTGCATGCTGTATCCATCCAGCACTCCCCCGCCCTCGACGAGCTTTTGTCCCCCTACAAATGAAAAGGATAAATGCACATTTTTTTTTTTTGCAAGTGCACCACGCCCAGGGACCTCAAGTCAGATTGCAGAGAGGGAAGCTTATTGAACGAGGCGGTGCAACGACGAGCAGCGACGGCGCAATATGTAGAAGGCGAATGTAACCTTTCGGGAAGGAAATGAAACGTCGAATAACGGATGCATTTCATTGCACTGAATAAGCCAAGAGGACCATGCACGTATAGAAGGTCAGTGATGCATCGCCCACCTCCCAACCCCCCCCTTATGCTAGGTCATCGCTGGTCCTTGGATGGATGCAGTTCTCCTACCTGACAGGGTGCTGGCCATGGTGCTGAAGGATGCAGAGTGGAAGATGATCAGAAAGGAAGGGGCTTGCTGGGTGGCTGACTACTGCAATGCTGTGGAAGGGAGAGCTAACGCCTGACTCAGCTCAAGGGGGATCCAGAAGAGAGAGCGAGAAGGGGAGGAGACAGAGGTGGGGGAGCCAGTAGAGAGATTAG